AGGTAACCTTCTCCGACGAGCTCCTTCCTTCCCTCCTTGTTCCAACGTGAAAATCGACTTATGCATATTCCAAATTCAAGTGACTTACATATACCTCTTGTGTTTTTATTAACTCAAATGTAGCATCGAGAGGATACGAATCACACCGACATCTACATAGATAGGATGGACACAACCAACAGCAAGCAGTCCAACAAAAAGGTAAATGAAACAAAATATTGTCAACAATAAAGTCATATAAAACCAACACTGTGCCTATGTCGAAGGAAAGGGTGGACCGATCCAGAGATTACGCTGCCACCCATGTTGGGTAGAAACCTCTGTGGTCACTCGCTTCAAGCGCATACACATCTCCTTATCACCGGTTGATACTCCATTTGATCCAGCATAGACCTCGTATGGAGCCAATGAGTACAACACAAAATAACCTGCAATGGAGAAGAAACTTTGCCACTGAAGACAACATCATTTCTATGTAGTCAAAGCGACCATAATAAGGGTGCATATCCGGTATTAGCATGTTGAACCTATGTGGTATTCCGTCAAGTCAATGACCATAAATATTGACTACACTTGTGGTTGTTACAAATTGGACGTTATTGGGATGACTGACCAAATAGAACGCACAAACTTGCATTGGAAGAAGAGGTGTTTTAACGTCTTGACATGAGTACAAAAACAAGACTTCTTACTCCCATGACAGTTGCGCCGAGCGAGGTTATCTTTTGTCAACACAACTCACATTCGAAGATACCACATGAAAATTTTAGCTTTTAGCGGTACCTTGCATTTTCAGGTTTATTTATGTCTATCCCACTAGAATCTCAGAGTGCATAAGACCACGATACATAGACTCAACTGTGAATGACCTAGATGTGGTGAGACTCCAACGAAACAAATCCTGCCCTTGTGTCAGGTTAACTGATTCCAAATGGGTTAACAGTTGTTGCCATGACATAAGTCAGGGGCCAACCAAGTCCCTCTGAAAAGATACTTCGAGGGGTAGGGTGTGGAGCTAAGCACTTCCGCAAGAGTATCATTATTATTGCGGAAAATGTTGTACAAGGTCGGACATTGTTTCTGGGAGTGGTGTTTCCTAACCACTTACCCTCCCAGAAACACACCTCTGAGTCATCCTTTATCGCGAAAGACCCCAAGCGGGAAATGATGCTTCTTTGCCGCCATCAGGCCAGTCCAAAAATGTGACTCCATTGGGCTCCAATATGCCTGGGACACCACATTTGCCCTATATACTTATTGCGCAGTAGGGTTTGCCAAACACCCTCCTCGGTAAGTAGCTTGAACAACCATTTACTAAGTAAGGTGTCATTCTTGACCTTGAGGTCTTGAATGTCAAGACCTCTTTGGCCTTTCGATTGACAAACCACACTCCAGGTGAGCCGATACCTTTTCTTTTAACTATCTCCTTACCAAACCAATTGGACCTAAAATAATCAGAACCCCTTTATGGAGTTGAAAATAGGAAAGCGTATAGAGAACCATGTTTGTAAGGAGCAAGTTGACAAGAACTAGTTGTGCTCCAACTGAGAGCAACTTACCTTTCCAACTGCTCAACCATTTCTTTAAGCACTCTTCGACACATGTACATGTTTCCTTGAAAAAACTAAATCAAATGTTTGTCATGCAACCTCACTTTAAATCAATGATTCATAGCAATTCAACCATACATTTAAATCGTAATAGGAGTGTCGGATGTTCAACAATTTTTTTGAATTCATCGATCCCAAATTCAACCATACTCCTTAAAAGCGGCCTTCATCTTGTGTTTTCTCTGCTCGAGCTTGAA